GATAAACAAAAAAGGAGATCGATCCACCTTGGTATCCAAATATTTGGGAACTATAAAACCCACTAAAAGAAGGATGATTGTCTTTGGAAGTCTGTACAAATGTCCCTTCCTGAAATGAACTTAGTGATGCTGCCACTTTCCAAGCAATGGAGCCCACAAATTATCAGCAAATCTTTCACTGCAGGATTGGTACAGGCTGGAATTCACCTGTCCCAGTGCAGATATTCACAGAGCCTTTATCTACATGTCAACTCACTAAATATAAAATTAAGGATACACACATATTTAATGCATTATATCTTGACACATCTCAGAAGCTGCTCATATGGTAGCATCAAATTGTGGATCCCTCTCTTCTATCACAGGTGATTTTTCTGTGTTTCAAATTTCACAGACTTGTTTGATTTCTGCAACTTCAGCAGTTTACAGTCACAAAGGGGTCACAAATTAAATGAAATAAATGTGACTGGACAGATGTTTACCAAAATGCGGCCAAGAGTGAAATAAAATCGGACTAAACCAAATTTGCCAACTTTGCTTCAATTGCAGTAACACCAGATGGTGGACTAATTTTCCCATCTCCCATTTCCCTGTGAAATCTATGAAAGAAAAGACAATCAGATTTTACCCATTCCTACTTTTTCCAACCCATATCCTCAGGTTCTCAGACTACAAGTAAAACTAATTTGGTTTTTATCTTCCATTAGATTTGTTTTCTGCTGTAAATGCTAATGTAATAGAATCAAATACTAACCAACCAAACACTTGGGCTCTGTAGAAAGCTATATGATTACTTGTACTCAACAAGCTCCTCCTGCCAACTTGGCTGAGCTGTGAATATTGCTTGCACAAATCCACATTCCAATCAGACAATGGTATAGTCTCACTCTTCTGCTATTGGGAGCCTGGGAAATTAATCAAATGATCGCAAAAATTAAGAGTAAACCAAGTGGAAGGTTAAACATCCATACTGGTTCTCTTTCTTCCCCCAAACAGGCCCAGAGTTAGGGCCTGATTATGGTTTACAACACAAGTCCTCACCTTTAACGTTCAGTTTGAGGTTGCAGGTTTGAGTGTTAGAAAATGATTGCTCTAACAGCATTAAAAGTATTCACTGCTGGAGGCAGGGAAAGCCAATAAACAGCCTCACAGCTCCACTGTTACAGCCACTTCCCAAAGTGAAATCACACCTCTTAAAATCATTAATTAATCTATTTTGAAAGATGCTTTTATTTATTTTATTATTCATTAACTGCCTGCATAAACAAGCCACCACAAGCCTCTGCACATTGTACAACAATTTGTGGAGTTGCTGACAGGATAAATGACTACAGTTGCTTTTATTTATCACTGTACAAGATTAACTGAGGCACAAAATTCTGATAAGTTCTGCATTTATTTAGATTTTATAGATTTTTTTATTAGTTGCAAAATGAAAGTTTCTTTCCTTTGAAAGAGAGCCACAGGCACATTGATAGCTAAGTCAAAATCCCACACAGTCGGGACAGGATATTTGTCACAAAGAAATTAAAGGCAAGTGTTTTAAAATCAGCATCAAAAAGTGAAACATGTATATTGCATTTAAAGATACAAGCATTAAGATAGAACCAAAGCTTAACATTAACACCTCTTTTGTGAAGTAGAGAGTTTCTGAAATCATATACCACAAGGTCATTTACTTCATTAGGGCCATGAAATCAGCCCTGCTGTTACATTCCAGAGCAGAACCCTAAACACAGATCTTACAGCTGCTGGGATATCTGTAGATGTGCAATTGCTCAGGGCTGCACAGGCTCCAAGCCTATCAGGAGCATACTGCATCAGGGCCAGGAAATACCCCTTAATGGCAATTCCCTCTAGTTCTGATGACATACCAGATTACTTCAATTTTGCTTCCATGCTGCCTGATGGATTAACTATGGTAAAAAGGTCCTAGACACCTCCAGGTGTCATGTATTTAGACAAGATGGCTGTAGCTTTCTACACAACTTTGTATCAAATATGTCTAAGTATGGAATTGAAAAATTCTACATAATAGTAAGCATAGCAAAGTTTTAAAAATCTGAATTACTGATGGGAATTTTTTACTCTGCATCTCCCCTGCACACTGAAACACAAACAAGTGCATCAAAAAGCATGATTTGTCACAAGCTGCTTTGCAGAGCCACAAGAGCCCTACCAGTAATAAACGTGGTAAGAAAACTATTAACTATGTCCTGTTACTATGAACACAACTGCTAGTGAAGATACAAGGGAACATTTCAGCTGGCTGAAGCACTGCCGGGAATGCGAGGCTGAAAGCACGTGGTCACCTGCTACTGGTTCCCAAGCGATACTTTGGTTTGGATCTGCGGGATTTCATCACTGACTTTTTTCCCCGAATGCAAACAGCAGAGGGCAGCACTACAGCCTCGTTCAGCTTGGCATCAGCTGGAAAAAGACTCCATACGGACCTTCCTGCTGTTTATCAGAAAGGTTATTCCAGGATACTTCTCTTGCACTGGGCATTGGCCCAGCAGTTATAGGCCCTGTCTACTTAGTAGGTATCTCTGCCTTCCTGAGTCACCCCAGCTATGAAAGGCCATGTTTCCTGGCTCTGCTCCAGCCTGACCTATTCAGGGGGAAATTAATCCTGCTTCAGAAGGCCAATGCTAAAATAAACCAATGCTTGCTGGAGAGTGGAGAGGTGGCAGGGAAAAGGAGACTATATAAATGCATGCCTCTCATCCCTTGCTGTAATCAACCTCCTCCCATCCACATCACTGCTGCTCAAAACTGAGAACAACCTCCTCTGCCGAGCTGTGCCCAGTAGGAGAAAGTGCACAGCTTTAGGATAGCTTTCCCAAAACGACATCAATGGGCTCTCTTCTCTCAAACTGTTTCAGAAGTGGAGGAATAAGGGGAAGAGAAGTGCTCTGCTTATGGTGGTTTGAGTTTCTTAATCTTGTTTTTCATAGGTGAGGGGCAGAACAGGAGACTAAAGTATAGAATAAGCTGCTGGGTTCCTGCAACACTGCTGCCTCACAATTTTTCACTCGTTTAGTGTTAGCTCTTTCTGTCTGTGGATTATTAGCAGTGAACAAGAAAGCCTACAACTTCAAAACACCTCAAAAAATGAAGCACGGCATTGATGAAAATGTACGGAAGCCAGAGAGAATTTTAAAATTGCACAAAGGTCTATTTTATTTGAACTGTTTCTTCTGACCTGAGTTGCTGGTCTAGTTCTATGCAGAAAAAAAGGGTACCAACCTTCAACATTGTAACATCTGAAAGGCAGATCACAAAGAAGCAACAGACTCGCACAGTTTCTGGGTGACCCCCCACCACTATGATCCTGGAAGTAACTGACGAGGTCCAGATAATTTATGCCTGGCAATTTCAAGACTGTTTCATGTCTGCACCATGGTTCCTCACATCTCAATTTTCCTCACTATATATACTCAGAACACTCCCTGTCTTCTATCACTTTAGAGCTGTCTGGAAAATAGCAAATAGCTCAATCTCAACTTCTCCCATTACTGTATATTACTACAAAGGAAAGAAATTAAATTATTCATTCACTAAGTAATATACTTTATTTATTTCTCACTTACTTGAAAATAACCTTGAAATTCTATTAAAACTGTTGTGCTAATAGCTATTGCAAGTATGCATAAAAATTACATCTATGTTTAATACATGAAGCTGTTTCTATATTATAAAAATATTATTAACTTGTTTTTCTATTGCAGTGCAGTTATCAGATTGTGCAAAAAGCTGTGATTCCGTTAAATATATACTGTTGTCAGAAACAATTTCAGTTTTTCCTACAACATATGAAAATAAAATTACTGTCAGCAAGAAGATTATTAACTATTATGTACTATTTCACAGAAGAAAGACTAGTCAGGAGTAAAATCACAGCATGAGAAACTCTACAAAATATCTGAAAATTAAGAGGTAACAACTTGAGCAAGGGCTAACAATATTGACACTTTTATTAAAAAGAAAATTATTGTATTATAACCAGATGTATTATCAGAAATAGCAGATGGAAAACAAATAAATAATTTAACAATTAAAATCTGTCTGCCTGAAACAATGATTTAAAAATACCTCGAGCAGTAAAATCACACACAGAAACAACTTAGAAAATAGAAAACAGAAGATTAATAAAACAAACATAACATAAGATCAACTTAAATAATTTTGGATACTCAAAAAAATCTGCAGCATGAAGTATGATAAAAAGATGTACTGAAAAGAGCAAAGACCAACTTGAATTGAACAAAGACTTACATTATCCCATTAAGATTTATATGAAGACAGTATTTAGAAGAATAAGCTTGAGCAAAATAGAAAATAAAACTCTACTTAAAATGCTACATGAGATTTCCTCATATACTCTGACTTGCACCCATGTTGTAATGATTTAAAATGATAATTGCTCATTTATGTGGACCTAAGAAGAAAGAACAAGTCCCTACAACTCTAAGAAGAGGCAGACAATTGAAAACTATGAAGAGTCACTACAGTTATGGAAAGCTGAACACGAGAGTCATCACATGGGATTGCACGAATGATGCAAAGAATGTTGCACTATGCAAAGAGGGCTGGGTCTTATACTAGACATTCTTCCAACACAGAAGATTTTCTGAAGAAGAGCATGTTATAAACTTCAGGTCAGAAAAGTCTATATTATTACTTTCACTTTTTAGTAGCTTTGTTTTGCCAAGCTCTGAAAACAAATCAGACCTATTTTTTAGGTCATGGAACTTAAGCAGGTGCATCTCAATTCTGCATTCACATAACCCAGCATTTCACCGGTTTGGAAACAAACAAACATTAAAAAAAAAAAATCCCACTAGGTAAGCAGGAGAACTTGGTGAAGAACTTTATTTCCCGATCAGGACATAAAACACATTTGAAATGTTACTGCTATGTAGTAACAAGCAGCAAGAGAAAATCATGTCAAATTGTGAGAACTTCAGCCATAGCTTGGTTTTGCTCTGATCACACACCTGCCCAGGATTGCTGGTACTACTGGCAGCTGTCACACCTTCCAAGAGATCTGGTGAACACCATGACAAGCATATCCCTGGCAACGAAGAAAAGCAAAGCACAATGCTAATTATCTCTTAGCACAACTTCTACCTCAGGAAAATAAGACAGAAAATGATAACAAATAGAATATTTCAAGGTAGTAACTAGGAAAATGAAGCTTCAAGAATCTATCAAACATAACACTTAAGACCCTGGAAGTATAGACTTCTCTTGAGATGAAAACCTTGCTCTCCAGATCTCATTTCTTCCATGTAAAATTAATTTAAACTAGATTTTAAAAATTAATGAATATATACACACCAGAGGTCCTCTCAACAAGTATTTTTTTCCTGGAAGCACAAAATCTGAAAATCACTGAATCCAAGAAGAGATATACATTTCACCATGTAAGGAAACATGTTTGGAAATTACTAAAGAAATTATTTTCTGCAGAGATATACACCAAAATAAAAAGTACAACATTCCTTTCTGCAAAGCAAGCTTTCAAATTTTGGTTTATGCTTGTTCTGAATAAATTTTGATGGTATTATTAGAACAAATATAATCTTGACTTTTAATATAATGGCATGTGCAAAAGAGATCTGGCAAAACTTGGAAAGGTCTATTCAAGCTTTGCTGTACCACACACTGACAAAATGACCTTGAGAAAGTCACTTCACTTTTCTTTGTCTTTTCTTCCAAAATCCAGTCTGAGGATAATGAGTTATGCTTTATATCAAAATATATTTACCAAAGAAGAGCCAGTAAATAGTAAATTAACTATTATGGACTCTAACAAGTCATTAATTTGCTTGCAAACTGTCCACAACACCTCTGTTTTATGAGTTTACCAAAATCTGTAATGTGTACTGTTATATTTATGTCAAGACTGCATTAATAATCAAACAATTTATAGATATTCTAGAGTACTGTAAATGTTTATGACAGCATGTAGAATCCATTAATTACCCACTGTAATGCACACCTGTGACATAAAAGGTGATTGTCTTAAGGCATGTTGAGATCTATGAGGAAAAACCACTGGAGTTCTGAATCTTAGTAAAACTGTTATTCTGTCTGCAGCATACCAAGTATTTACTATACAGTCCTATAGAGAAGTGAAATTAATTTCTGAGTAAAGACTGTGATTGCAATTCTTCAAACAACTAGAGCAGCAGAAATTAGTGCTTGTCTGGTTTGAGTACCAGATAGCTGCTGGTTTAGTTCTGTTGCTCCATCCCCATTCTCAAGACTTTGCCATTGGAAAGCTCTATTCCCACTCTCAAGACTTTACCATTGCTCAGATGGCCCTTCTTGTATTCCTGTTCTCTCCTCCTGCCTGGTCCACTCCCCTTTCTTCTCCTCACTTGCTGCAGCTGGGAGATACATGTTGAATACTTCCCACACACCTATTAAATCCCAGTGTCCACATATTCTGGATGCCCTTGCCTGACTCTCTGCAGATTCAGTCTCTTACAGAGACCTCCATTTTCTCCATCCCATCCCAGCCCTTACTCTCACACTGAGGTTACCTCATCATCCCTATCACATTTTGTCTGCTTTTGAGCCGTATCTCAGCTCTTTTCCCCTCTGAAGAACTGTCAGCCAGCTCCTCCTGATCAACCTTCTGTGATTTCTACTGACTTTATTCTCTTCTTCACTATTTCTCACACTCATCCCCAGGAAGCTTCACGCTGATGTCCTTGGTGGCACTCTGTAGCAGTCACCTGTATGTCTCCTTGATTTGGCCCACTCATTTCTCCTGCACCTCTCACTCAGTGTTCTGCTCCCTGAAAGAGTCATTCTTTTGACATGGTCTGGAGCAAGAATTGCTTTTCCCCTGACCTCTGTTATCCCATCCTTTCTCTCTGATCTTTCCCCTTGTCTGTCCTTCCTCATATCCTCTCACTTGCTCTTTCCATGATTTTCATCTCATCAGAATCAGAATATTCCATCCAATCTCAGCCCACTTCCTCCTTCTTTATCTTTCTTTTCTAGCACAATCTGATTGCAGAATTGCTCTGTTTCTTACTCTCCACTCCTATCTTGTGAATGATGAAGTATGATTGCCAAACACATAACTCAGCCTGCCCAGCTTCAAATTCCTGCCTGACCTGTGATCAGGATTACTTCATCCACAACCATTTAATTGTCTCCCTTTCCAGTTGTGCCACCTTATAAATTTTTATCCTATTTTTCCAAGTTAAATGAAGCACTTTTCAAGAGCTCTCTTCCTGAACATCTTCTGCACAAATTCTTGCCAAAGGAAATATTAATATGCTCACTTCCTACGAGTTTATTCCTTGTGTCACAGGGTATTTTTCCCCTCCTACCTCTATGTCCCAGCTTGTCCTGTTACAACAGAACTCCCAGTCCGTTTCATATTAATTTTTATCCACTTCCTCAGTTTTCTTCCAAAATGTTGACCCTCCTCCAACTCCTCATCCTCATATTACAAACATCTTCTAATAAACAAACACACCTTATGTTGACTCTTACTGTTATTTCCAGCACTGACACTTCTCAATGTGCTGCTTATACTTACTGGCCAATTTTCCCTCTCTCCTAAGACAGGTAATACCAACACCCAGCTTAAATGACCCTCGCTAATACCTGCCCAAAACAAACTCAAAGCTCATACTATTTTGTCCTTCTTGATCATCTTTGTCATCATCAACCTCATTATTCCTCTTCAGCTCTTATCCTCACATAGCTCTGTTCTGGCTCTCTTACTCTCCTCTGACTTCAAATATGCATCAATCTTAAAAATGCAAACTTACTATAACTCCACAAATAGTTCCTGAAAGAAACCCAACATATTTCTTCTTGGCATCTTCACAGTACACTGTCTACTCACCACTGTCTAGGCTGGGAGTCAGGATGTTCTGACTCGTGCTCCACCTTGTGTCTGCCATCAGGCTCGGACTGCTGACTTTCGATGAAATGCTTTTTCATTCTGTGTCTGTCCTAGCCTCAGCACTAAGATTTCCAGTGTCTTGGATATATAAGTAAACAAGGGCATGCACTACTTTGAAAAAATTGATCTTCTATAGTGTTTCAAGCTGGCTATTCACACACCAAAGCACAATACAGTCAGTTACTAATCTCTCTCAAAAATGTAGATGTGGGTTAGTTTTAGCTCAGAATTTTTAAGAAAGAAATGCAGTGTCCTTATGCTATGTCAGCAGTGCAGAGACGCACAAACTCAGCCTAGAAAAAAACAATTTATCCAAAGCTGCAAAGATCTAAGGAAAATGAAGCTTGAAAGATTGTTTTTAATAATTCAGAGAGACTGCATTTTCAGAACTGTTTTAACCATTTCTCTAGGAAAGTATCAGAATATTGAATAACAAACACTAAATAACTATACAAAAACAAAAGGCTCTTTAGCTTTTTTTGATGACATTTCCAGCTAGTTCTAAAAATGCATATGCTCAAGGTACTGGTAGAGTTAGCAGTAAATTCCTTACAGGATATGTTTGAACTTCTACACTAAGTAGAAAACTGTCCCCTCAACATCATACATAGGAAAAATCCAAATCAGGCATTTGGAGCAAAAATCAAGCAAATTAAGAATAACTCTCAAAGTAGCCAACATATGTCCTGGTCCAGCTCTGCTTTTATTAAAACTGATTGGAAACAAAGTCTCTCCTGGAAATAGATATCTGGGCTCAGAGAAGGGAGAGCAGAAGCAGAAAAAGTGGCAATTCAATTGCTATGCAGTCCTTTCTTTAAATACTGGCAGTTAAGGGTAAAACAATACTACTGCTACAGAAATATCAGATCAAACAATCTCTGTGAATGTGATGATGATACCCAACAATAACTTCAGAAACTAACTAGAATTGTTGTGATAAAGACTTTATTAAAATGCAATTTTAAAAAACCCAACAATTTAAATGAAAAAAAAAAAAAAGAAAAACCCAGAAATCTAAATCAAAGATGGTGGGGAAGGGGCTGGCAAACAATCCTTTCAGGTTAGACTCCCACTCCAGTCTTACTTCAGACCCCCACTGCCTTTCCTCCTCAGCAGCATCCCACCACTACTCTCCCATCTCCCACTCACCATACTGCAGTCAGCAGGGTTGACACCTGAGTGCACACCTGAGGAGACCTTATCAGTCTGAGTAGACAGGCAGCAGCTGTGAGCACCACTATCCCGGAGGTCTGTGTGAAACCAGCAGCAGAAGCCTCAAAATGTTAAAGGGGTATTTGCTTTCCTGTGAAAAGAGGAGACACCAGACCTGATGAGTGAAGTATGAGGGAAAAAGAGGAAAGGTCAAAGGTAGCAGGCAGCCACATATGTTAAACAAAACTCCCTTCAACTCAGTGTAATTCTAGGGATCCTCTATTCTTCCCCTATGCACCTGCTTTTGGTCCTTGCTTGGGGAAATATCTCTTGGGTGGGGGGTGGCTCTCTTCCCCTTTCTTAGAAGCTGGGCAAAGGCTCCATCTTCTCAGGAGGCCAAGGTACAAAGGGTGCTTCTGGAAATCACAGCTGGCATCCACTTCTTATACTTGAGGCTCATAAGAAGAGACCTCAACAGACCTAAGAGCAGCAGAGGGCAAGAGAGATGGGATCAAATGTACCATCCCATCGACTCATGCTAACAAACACATTGGTGAGAAGAGATGCACTGGCCTGTAAAGAATGCCTCTTTGTGGAACAGCCAAGATTTTAGCTTCTACATTAAGATTAATTCTATTTTCATTACTGATACCATATTACCACATCAAAAGAGACCCTTATGAGTTCCTTAGTATAACATATTTGTGTCTTATTAACTCTGTAGGGCAAACTCCTATACATCTATACCTTCCTGCATTGCCTTTTACATAACTATTCCACAAAACTAAGCCACCCAACAATGAATCATAAGCTTCTGTTTTCCTATGGGGGTCAGCCAGAAAGAACAGATGAGAAACTAATGGGGGAGCCATGTCACCTTCATTTGACTCAAACACTTTTCTAAGAACCAGATGCTGCATAAAGGCAGAGCTTCACTACAGCCTTTACTCTTCTTTCACACTTGATGCCAGTCAAGCAACTTCAGCATGTCTGAGCATGTGCTTCCCACAGTCTCTTCCCTTCCTTCCCTCTCTCACTCTGAAGAGGGGATTGCCTGCGGATCTTGCGAGGGTCTGACCTTGCAGGGGTGAAATGAGGGTGTAACGCAGAAAAGCACGCTGTCTCCTCCTCGGAAAGCCGAGTACCAGAGCATGCTGGGGTATTTAAAGACCCCGATGCATGCAAGCTCCACACAGTGCATACGGCATGAAGCAACTCTCTGGCCTTGACCCGAGAGAGCTCCAGTCCAGTTCTGGTCACTATGAACACAGCACCACCTTCCACCCCTGGGGAGCTTAGCTGTTGGGCCCGACACCCGTGGCGCCCCTCTGTGAAGGCACACGCGTGAGGGCACGGCCTAAAGCACTCTCGGCGGGCTCCGGCAAGGCTTTCGGCTTTCGGCCCTCAGCCGCCGCCGCTCGCCTGCACGGACCGCTTAACACAGCCTGCAGCGGCCCTGCCAGCTCCCCATCTTCCCTCCGGTGCCTCCCGGGAGCTATAAATACAGCGGGCACATGCCCTGCCGCCGCGTTCCCCAGCAGGCAGCAGATAACTTTAATTTGCCCTTTAAACGTCCCGGGCCCCGCGTCCCTCGCGGCCGCCGCCGGGGAGCCGGGCGGGGCGGGCCCGGCGGGCCGCAGCCAATGCCCGCGGCCCGGGGGGCGCCTCCTCCTATCGCGAGAGCCGCGGGCTATAAGCGGGGCGGCGCGGGCCGCGGGGACATTTGTCCGGCGGGGTGGGGAAGTGTCCGCTCGTTGCCTCTCTCCGGGCGGGGCTGTCGGACCGGCTCGCGGCATGGGTGACCAAGCGCTCAGCTTCGTCAAGGACTTTCTGGCCGGCGGGATCGCCGCCGCCGTCTCTAAGACGGCCGTCGCCCCCATCGAGAGAGTGAAGTTGCTGCTGCAGGTGAGGGGGCGACGGGGGGCGGCGGTGCCGCGCTACAGGTGGTGCCGGCTCGGCGGGCGCTGCCCGGCGTGACTAAATATGGGCAGGAGCTCGGCCGGCTCCGGTTACGCGGGAGCTGCCCGGGACATTCAGCACCGCCTCGTGGTGGCGGGGCCGGGGCCGGCCCCGTCCGTGCCCTTCAGCGTGCGGGGTCACCCTGCGGTGCCCGTCTCTCACCGTGCCGTCCTCTTCCTTCCTCCTGCAGGTCCAGCATGCCAGCAAACAGATCACGGCCGATAAGCAGTACAAGGGCATCGTGGACTGCATAGTCCGCATCCCCAAGGAGCAGGGCATCGCCTCCTTCTGGAGAGGCAACTTGGCCAATGTCATCCGGTACTTCCCCACCCAGGCCCTTAACTTCGCCTTCAAGGACAAGTACAAGCAGATCTTCCTGGGCGGAGTGGACAAGCACAAGCAGTTCTGGCGCTACTTCGCAGGAAACCTTGCGTCCGGGGGTGCCGCGGGAGCCACCTCCCTCTGCTTCGTCTACCCGCTGGATTTTGCCAGGACCCGGCTGGCGGCTGATGTGGGCAAAGGAGCCAGTGAGAGGGAGTTCTCTGGCCTGGGCGACTGCATTGTCAAGATCTTTAAGTCTGATGGCTTGAAGGGCTTGTACCAAGGATTTAGTGTGTCTGTCCAGGGCATCATCATCTACAGAGCAGCCTATTTTGGGGTATACGATACGGCCAAGGGTAAGAAGTGCATGTGGAGGAGTGACTGCAAGGGAAGATCCATTCAGTAAAGGCACTGTAGGGCACTTGGCAATACAAGGACAAGCAGGGCTTGGCACGGCACCAGTTGAATGCAGTGCTAGAAATGTGCACAGGTGTTTCTGATGTGCATTCCTGCCTCCCTCTACTTGCTGTTTTGAAATGCTTTGGGTTTGGATTGACTCCGGGGTTGGTGGGTGATTATTCTTTCCACAGCCATGTTTCCCACAGCCCTTTCCCTCTGTACTGATTCTGTTCATTTGTTCTTGATGACAGGTATGCTGCCTGATCCAAAGAATGTGCACATCATAGTGAGCTGGATGATTGCCCAGAGTGTCACTGCAGTGGCAGGGCTGGTTTCTTATCCTTTTGATACTGTGCGACGTAGGATGATGATGCAGTCTGGCCGAAAAGGAGGTAAGACTAAGTGCTCCTCTGGTTCTGGCTTCAGAAAGTTTCTCTTTGTCAGGATAAGATAAGAGATACTGGGTATTTTTTTTGTCTTATGGAAAATTAATAACCTCATTGGAGTCTTTGAAAAACCTATGGGGAAAACCTTGTTGGTTATCTCTATCATGTTGATTTAAAGTATTGAGAAATTACTTGATTTCCTATGGAGAATTAATTTTCCTGAATTGATTACTAAATTTTAAATCCTCGGCTGTACTTTGCTATTCCTGGTTGTTTTACAGATAATAACAGTTGAAAGATACTTGCTGTATAAGTTCAAGCTTCTAACCTTTATTTTTGTTTTCACAGCTGATATTATGTATAAGGGCACAATTGATTGCTGGAGGAAGATAGCTAAAGACGAAGGATCCAAAGCGTTCTTCAAGGGTGCCTGGTCGAATGTGTTAAGAGGCATGGGCGGAGCTTTTGTATTAGTACTTTATGATGAAATCAAGAAGTATGTCTAAGACATAAGATCATATTGCAGTAGTTCAATTGTTCTCAATCAACTTTTTTTAAAAATACGAACTTGTGATGTAATGGACAACAAAATATTTCCTAGGGAAACAGAATAAAATTTGAGTAATGTATGTGGCAGAGATAAGGATGTGTTAATTTAAAAATTGTCCACAACATCACAGTTATATTTTCTATGATAATTCCTCCACCATTTGTATTGAAACCTGTGTATATATTATATTTCAAATTGCAGGTAATAGATTTTGTCTAAAGACAAAATGTAAGTGATCTATACCAAGTCTAAAATCTAATATTGTCAATTCTTAATAGATTGTCATAAATATTTATTATACTAAGTAATGTCTCTAGCTACCCAACACTGTGATGACATGACTTAAAATCATGTTTTCTTCTAAAGCTCTATTTTTTAATATATTATTAAGTGAAAAGTATATCTGAAATAATAAACTATACTAAAGCGCTAGGCTGAGTTCCTAACTGTAGCCTCTTCCCTGACAAACTATACAGTAATATGTTTGAAACCATAATCTGATTTTTCAGACATACTTTGTAAAATATGGAAATACAGTGTTTGAAAAATTCCCTGTATTGTCACAAAGGAAAAAGTTGTCTGCTCTGATGTTCAATTGAACTAAAACTGAAATGAAATAAATTCATATATTAATGAATTTTTCCTGTCATTTTCAGTACACTGAACACATTACAAGCATGTCCTCCAAAGTGTTGTGCTAATCAGGATACTGTGTTAGTTCATCTCTTGAAAGTTTTTTCAACAGAGCTTTAGGTAGGTGAAGTTATTGAGGTTATATTGATAAATCTACAACTGCAAAACCACGTGGATTCAGTTTAAGGGTACTGCAGCCAGAGATCTTAGAGATAAACTTCCACCTAGTTTTAGCTGCTTGTATAATTTATTTATATTACCCTTAACTTTGAAGCATCTCATTGAATAGTGAAGTCATTACTGTTTAATTTACTTGAAAAATTATTTTAGAATTGAATACTTGAGAGTTATTAAAATAACTACATGTTGAACCATTATAAACACATTGCACTATTAATGACCAGTGAGATCAGAACATGCTCAATACACTTTTTAAACTTCAGATGCTGCAGGGTTATGAATGCAGGGAAGAATAGGCTGGCTGATCAGGCAAAGGAGGGAAAGGGAGGTGTGGCCATTGGAGTTGTTCAGTTAGACTACATAGAGACAAGCATTTGCTATGTATCCACTTAGGACAAAAACCATAGAATCAGAGCATAGTTTGTGTTGGAAGAGACCTTATGAGTCCATCTACATCCAACTCCCCTGCCATGGGCAGGGACACTGTCTACTAAACTCAGTTCCTGGCCTTGGACACTTTCCATGGTTGAGGTGTCCACAACTTCTCTGGGTAACAGGGTAAGACTAAGCAAGTTATAATCAAATAAACATTTATCTCACCTTCATCTTTTACTGCTTCATATGTATGTTTTCCAGTTATCCTTTTCCTATATTGAAACATTTGTCAGATAGAGGTAAGTCCTAGCTCACTGTCACTTGGCAAGAG